TGTGACCGTTGGACATTGAATAAGGAGGACCAAAGAAGATTCAATGCATTTGAATTATGGTGCTAGTAGTGAGTGTATGTTGATGGGGAGAACAGCCCAGGAAAAAGAGAGGGTAAGAATGGTTGCACCACCACTCAGAGAAACTCATCAGTTACTAAATTGTTATGTAGATAGTGGTGATTTGGTGGCTGGTTTGTTGTGTTTATTCTCAGCTGCCACAAAATCAGTAGAATTTAAGGAAAGGAAAAAAGATTTCAGTCTTAGAAATGCTATTGATCAGTTCTACCCTGTCCCATGGTGGCTGAATAGCACATATTCCCATGATCATGTGCAATAGTACCATGTGCCCTAGAAAGTCCCAGGGGCTCTTCTTAGAAAATCTTCTCCCAACCCCTTCGAAGAGACAACCTCAGTTCTGATTGCGTTCAAATCTTCGTTTAGTCTGTTCTTGAACATTGTTGAAGTGAATGCATGCGGGTGTGGTTGTTTTTCTTTGGTTTGGTTTTGCTTTTTTGTTCACCTTCTTTTTCTTAGCTTAATTCTGTGAAATTCATCCAGGCAGCTCCCTATACTGGTTGTTGGTTCTCTAACGTGTTTGTGTTGTGGTTGTTCCATGCTTCTTGATCAGCTTTGTACCACTAGTCACAAAAATGTAGATCCACAAGAATATAGGCCCACCAGTCACAAAAATATAGAAGTGCTTTCATTGCTTCACCTTTAAATAACTTAATAACTGCAGGGATGGCAACGTAAAGGCCAAATGGAAGCTGGGGCTGAGACAAATCAGAGGAAGATTAGAAGAGGATCTACAGGTCGAAATTACCCTTGGTGTTGGTATTCATTCCTGACTAGACCCTTTTGGTTATTGTTAGTGGCTGTAAAGTGGATTCCGACTCATGGAGACCCAGTCGGGGCCAGAGTAGGGTTTTCAAGGCTGTACCTGTCAGAAGCACATCGCCAAGCCAATCTGCCATCGCTAGTCATAAAGCATGTCACTGTTTGCGTGACCCAGGCACTCCTTGTTTTTAATCGTACTCACACAATATCACAACTCTGATGTGGTCCTTGTAGGGACCCGAGCAGTGCATTATATGATGGGGCTCTTAATACTTTTGCATTCTCAGAGGGTTTATCATTGGAGGGTTGGGAGCTCCCAAGAGTTCATGTTGATTAATGAAAAACCCTGCACACGGCAAAAGACAGAACAGAAGAATGGGACCTCCTAAAAGTAAGAAACAGACTCACATCAAAAGATAGCATCCAAGAGTAAAAGAGACCCACAGCCTGGGAAAAAGAAATGGACAAGGACATATATATCAGATGAAGGACTAGTTTCTTTTTATTTTTAAGGTCATTTTATTGGGGGCTCTTTCAGTTCTTATAACCATTCATACATCAATTGTCTCGAGCATATTTGTACATATGTTGCCATCATCATTTTCAAAACATTTACTTTCTATTTGAGCCTTTGGTATCAACTTCTCTTTTTCCTTCCTCCCTCACCATCCTCCACCCTCATGACCACTTAATAAATTATACATTATTATTATTTTCATATCTTACAAAAACTGTCTCTCTTCACCCACATTTCTGTTGTTCATCCCCCTCAAAAGGGGAGTGTATGTGTCAATCATTGTGATTGGTTCCCCCTTCCTCTCCTTCCCCACCATTTCCCTACCCTCCTGGTATGGTTACTCCCGTTTATATTCCTGAGGGGTAAATCTGACCTGGGTTCCGTGTGTAATGAGCTCTTATCTGTACCAGTATGCATGCCCTGGTCTAACCTGAACCAAAAGGCAGGACTGGGGTCATGATCGTGGGAGGTGAGGAAGCCTCAAAGAACCAGAGGAATATTGTGTGCTTTATCAGTGCTATACTGTACCCTGGTTGACTTATCCCTTCCTTGTGACCCTTCTGTGAGGGGATGTCCTATTGTCTACAGATAGGTTTTGGGGTCTCTGCTCCGACCCCCTTGTTCTCAATAATGCTTGTTTGTTTGTTTTTGATGTCTTGTTTTGGGTCTTCTGATGCCTGTTACTGGATCCTGTCAACAACTCATGCTCACACAGGCTGGTGTGCTTCTTCCATGTGGACTTTGTTGCTTCTCAGCTAGATGGCTGCTTATTTAACTTCAAGCCTTTAAGACCCCTGGGCACCGTCAGCTTTCTTCATCACATTTGCTTATGCACCCGCTTTGTCTTCAGCAATCATGTCAGGAGGGTGAGCATCACAGAATGCTGGATTATTAGAACAAACTGTTCTTGAGTTGAAGGAGGGGTTGGGTAGAAGCCCAAAGAAGGACTAATTTATAGAATCTATAGAAAACTTCAATACCCCAACACGAAAATTATGGATAACCCAATTGAAAAATAGACAAACTCACTCACTCATTTCCATAAAGTCCATTTTGACTCACAGTGACCCTACAGGACAGGGTACAACTTCCTCTTTAGCTGTCTAAGACTGTAAGTCCTTCCAGGAGAAGAAAGCCCATCTTTCTCCGGCAGGATTGCTGATGATTTCAAAGTGCTAACCTCACAGTTACCCTCCCAGCTCGTAACCACTATGTCACAAGGGCTCCTTAGAAAAAGTGGATGGAAGACATGAATAGACAGTTTACTATCAAGAAAATCTGGCAATCACTAAGTGGCAAGTGTGAGAGATGCAGATCAAAACAACAATGTGACACTGCCTCACCTCAGAATTGATAGTGATGTTCAGAAAAGCAGAAAACAGCAAATGCTGGAAGGGATGCAGAGAGATGTGCCTCTTGATCCACTGCTGGGGGGATTTTAAAACTGTGCAACAACTGTGGAAAGCAGTGTGGCACTTCCTCAAATAATTGGAAATAGAGATACCATATTAACCAGCCATCGTGCCACATGGTTTACACCCTACAGAAATAAGGAAGATAGCAGGAGGAAAAATAGACGCGCCCATCTTCATTGCAGCACTGTTCACACGAGCAAGGAGATGGAGACAACTTCTCTAAATGCCCACCATGGAAGAACGGAGGAATGAACTTTGATACGTACACACTGGAATACTACACACTGTTAAAGGCAATGATCACACTCAAGCAACTTCATCTGGAGGACAATATGCTGAGTCACGTGAGTCAGCACGGAAGGTCTGGGGAGTGAAATTTTGGGAGAGGGCATTTACTGAGATGCCAGGTTGTATGTGATGGGCTTCACACCTGCTTCAAAACAGGTAGCCTCTGAAGCAGAAGAGAGTGATGTAGAAAAACATCTATCCCAACAGAAAAAGAGGAAAAAGAGACTGATTTGATTCTGATGAAAACAGAGGCAATTCACTCATGAAGATTGAGATAGCAGAATGGATCATTTAATCATCTATTAAATCAGCCCACACTTTCAAGCCCTTGTATTTATCGGTGTTCCTCAAGACTGACCAGGCCAGCTTTCCCTGCCTTTCGCCCCCTCTGGTGGACGCGCGAAGCATTAATCTCACCTCAAAGCCCCAGCAGCACACCGAGGAGGTGAAGAAAAAGAGATGGGTGACACTCAGACTTTAATACTCATATACATGGCCTAGAGATCTTGTTAACCTTGAGATGAAGTAGGTTGGAACTTGAGCCCGAGATGCGGACCCTCTAACAAGTCTCCACGTGTCACCAGTTCTCCCACCGCACCTGGAGAGCAGGCTAGATAGCAACAAAAATCACGGGCAGAGAAGAGCCTGACCCAGGGCTCCCAGCAGGACATGGACCTGATCTCCAACTCTAACCTGGATGCAGCCCCACATCCAACAGTGGGTCTAACCTTACCCGAAGAGCTGTAAGTTCACTGTGGATGTTTTCCCAGTAATAACCAATGATTTACTTCTGTACACACCCTTACGACACGCAGTTGATTCTGCTGGAACATGGGAATCCCGGTAGGAGGCAGTGTGATGCCTTGGCTACATGGGATCCGATTTTTAGGAGGCAACCTTCTCATGTCACACTTCTGAAAGCACAATTCTCTGAAGTCTGAGGCACGAAGAGACTGCCTTGCCCACGGTCACAAAGGAGTTGAAAGCAGTAAGGCTACCCCCAATTTTCCTGACTCTGGTCCGCGTGCGGTCTGTCTAGATCAATTCCCATCTGTAAGTTTCTCACAAGTGACTGCGACCAAGTCCTATAGGTGATCCAATGCCCATGTGGCAGCAAAGATGACAGCCTATGTCTCATTTTGACACTTTTCCTCATGTCTTGTTCTTTTGTCATTTGCTGCCCTGTTTTCTTATCAATAGAGTTAGGTTTTAGGCATCCATTAAAAGATTCAGAAACACGAGACCCCCATCATAGCATCACCTGGGCGGGATAGGTAACCCTCATTTCATTTATCACCTTTACCTGAATACAATTCATGGAAACAAGACACATTAGGTCTTAACAGGTGTATTTTATTTTTTAATTGATAGTCTTTAAAACTTTCCATCAAAAGCATGTAGATTAATTCCACATAGTGAGAGATTCTTAATATGTCTGATTTTTATAGATGGATGATTGAATGAATGAGTTTTTCAGGTAAGAAATCCATCCTGGATAAATAGCTAACCAATGGACTTTGTAAGTCCTTGGATGAGGCGATACCCAAAGCGGTCTGAGCCAAGGGCCACGTAATTTGAAATCCGTTTGTCTTCAACATCAAAATTCACTTTAGGGCACTTAAGCGATTGTCATGCCTGACAGAGTGGAAGGTGAATTTCCACTCTGCCCTCTTCATTCGCAGCGAAAAAAGGCCCGAGAGTAAACAAAAAGTTCCGGCTCTCTTTCCGCATGTATGTGTAAAATGCAGATGAGCAAAGTAAGTAGGCGTGTGAAATCATTTGTGACAAAACCCATTATTTACAGATGAGAAATTTATATTGTCAGCGTAATATCTGTGAGGCTAAGCGGAGCTGCGAAGATATAAAAGCAGCAGGCTTGGCGCGGAACTACAGAGCACAGGACCTGAGCACCCGGAAGTTCACACCTTGCCTGCCTGCTCAGCTCCACGGCTCAGCATCAACAGGTAAGCCTGCTATTGGTTCCTTGCGAAAAAGGTAGAGCCTGTTTTTGATACAGTTAACTATTGTTAAGGGAGAAAAGGGTTGTGAATTCAAGTGTTGCTCTTTCATCTTATACTTTATGATCAATAACACGCTGGGCAGCATTGAAGTAGAAAGTGACAGAGCGTGCATCTCCATCAACTTCAACACAGGACGCTCTAAAGTGTACCTGGCGAATAGCTCGTCTCAAAGATACCAGGTCGAAAATACAGCATCTATTCAAGTCAATGTACTTGTTAGGAGCTGTCGCTGTTATGAGAATTGCGCGTTAAAATAAATCGAAACAGTTTGAAAAAGAAATTGTTTTCTTTCCACTTGCTCAAAGTATATACTGCTTCAAACAGAAGGCGTCTTTTCAGTTCAGCAAAAAATATGCGTCTATTAGGCAGGCTTTACCCGCAATTGCTTTCTATCAATTATTATCTGACTTTCTAAAAGACCAAATTTAAATCATCTCTCAAATATTCTTATTTCTAATATCTCTATAAAAAAACTAGAGTCCATGAAATGAATTCTTTATAAATATGACAGCATACAATGGTGCAGGGTATGCATACTACTACTTACTTTGGATAAGTGGAAGTAACCAATCATTACTATTGCCAAAAGGCTAGTAGCTGTGATTGAAATCTAAAAAGTCTATATTCTGGCAAAAAGTTGCATTAACTCTTTTTTGGGGGGTGGGGGTGGGGGTTTAAGTTCCCAAAGCAAAGAAAAAAACTATGTTATAAAGGACCCATATGATCTACATTTAGAGATATCATACAATGTCTCCTTCCCTTGCTCTGTTAATCTTTCTAAAAGATTCTCTACACTGGAAAAGCTATTGTCAACATATTGTACCTTAAAACGTAAGTTCGAAATTAGGGTTCCCTCCTTATGCCTCATGAAGAAGCGGGAAAGCGCTTTGAAATTATTTTCTTATTAAGTAGTATTTTCATACTAAAATATCATGAAATTTTACCTTCTCGGCAATGATTTCCAAACAAGAAACAGGCTCCATTCTTCCCCGTTCACAATTCCAGACTTTTTAACTGTTGCATTGACATATAACTGATGTACCTTATGATTCACTGGATTAAATACATTAAAAGGAGCCGTATAATCATCACAACCAATTCTAGAACAATTCCATAGACTTTCACCCTATGAATAAGGAGAGTTGAAAAGCAAGTCCTTTCTTAAGGTAGAACTCCTTTTGGTGCCTGTATGGGATTTCAAATGTTCCCTTTTTAATGGTCATTTCTTCTTCCCTCAGGGGCACAGTACCAAACTGCTCTGAACGTGGTACGCATGATAGAAGATGTAAAAGCTTTAAAGGCCTTGGGTGGAAGGAATGATTTAGTCCTAAATTGATAGCTTTTGCCTTGTAGAAGAAACTTTCCAACAGTAATATAATCATAAAACTAACTGCTTGCCCTAATTGTTTAAACCCTAAAAAAGCATGATTTTAATAGTTGAGAGTTCCCATCACGAGATTCTACCTAAAAATAAGGCAACAGCAATTTTTTTCTGCAGCATAGCAAAATGCCCAACTGCTCATTCAATGTTGATGAATGAAGAGCGATGAGTATACACTCCCTTCATGCTGCTTTGTCTAATAGGCAGCTCAATCTTAAAACAAAACACCATTTTTTTAAAAAAAGAAACTTGCCTTTTAATGAAAGAGATGACTGTTGCAGGTATTATACAGTCTCTGAGTTTTAGAGCCAGAAACAGATAATAAATACAGCTAGGATGTTAAGGAAAAGATTGATAGTTTTACATGATAATATTTGTAAAATCCTTATTTCAAACCAAATGTCATTTGCTAAAAATACTCATTCAAATTATTTATGGAGAAATATAATCTGACTTGGACTGAAATCCTCACTTCTCAAAGTATGCACGGTTGGGCTTCAAAGTGGCAGAGGGAAGTAAAACCCAAACCTATGCCGCTTAGGCTGTTCCGACTCAGAGCCACCCTGCAGGACAGAGGAGAACTCCCTGGGGTTTCGGAGACTGCAAATCTCTACGAGGGCACCAAGTCTCATCTATGTCCGGCAGAGCAGAGGGTGGGTTTGAACAGGCAAACTTGGAGTTAGCAGCCCCATGTTAACTACCCCACGTCGAAGGCAGCTGTGCAAACATGGGGTTTGAGGTTTCCATTCAGAACACAGAGGTGCTGACTCTGTGGACCCTGCCCACGTCCTCCTTGCCCTCCGTGCACCCTGCCTGTCACGCTGTGGGCGGGCATCTGCTGGTGATACGAGGACAAGCACCCAGGTGTAGCCTACAACCAGTTCTAGTGTGTCACTAGCAGCAAATGACATTTCCTGGACTCCATCCAATTGTAAAGCAACCTGGGGACTTCCAAGTCTTCTGAAGCAGGCGCCGGTTTTCTTCCTGACAGGACTCTCCTGCTTGTTTCGCTGTGACTATTCAAGTTGCCAGAAGCATTAGTTCTCGTTGCAAATTGCTTGTCTTTAAACTGATTTTTTCCCCCTTTAATTTAGAACAGGTCAACGCACCCTAAAATACCTCAAATCTGTTGGCCGCTTTATAATTACAAAGTCTAGACCAAGTTACACTATTTAAAATATAAATGAATAATACATCTGAACCGACAGCTGGCATGCCAAGTTGTAGCCTGAGGCTGCTTTAAGATGGTTGAAATGCAGTATAATGTAAATGCTTGGAAGTGAAGGACTATTAATTGAAAGCCAGACTGATAGTGGGGGGGTGGGGGGAGCAGCTTCATGGATAAGGTGTCATTCAGGCTAACCATATGTAGCATATCATCTACAGGGGATATTTTCAATGTTTATCGTGGTCATTTTCCATTTCAATTCTGGAAATGAGCCTTCTAAACATTGACAGAAGTGTCCTACATTAATGAAAACCCTGAATGCTGGCTTTGCCTCTCAAAAATCTGGGAGGGGAAATATAATGAACTATTGGAAATTAAACTGGCAATAAAATCAGAATATGACTGGTAAAATGGGCTATTTCTTTCTAACTAGAAAATGTCTATAGTCAAAATCAAACTATTTTAGCTTGACATGTTTAAATAGGATTGCCTGCTTCTTCATCCCCCCCCCTCCCACCCCACTCCTGTGTTCTGACAGACCGACAGCAACAATGAGAAACATTTACATTGCGGCGGGATTGTTCCTAATGCTGTTACAAAGCAGTTGGCAACGTGCTCTACAGGACACAGAGGAGAAACCCAGGTAGTAAATCCTTCCACTTTCATCAACCCAGCACTGTGGCTACTTTAATGCCTGTGCAAACCGTGATTAGTCAACTGGGTCTCAGTACTTAGAGTCAACACTCTTTGCCCAACATTCGTATGTTTCAATTATCTCTGTGATAAAGGTAGGCTTTTCTGGATATAGAAACAATTATGTGTTGCATCATAACTCAGGGGGTAAGAAATGTTAGGAAATATGCTACACAGAAAATGATAGCTTTCTGAATTCTTCAGATTAGTCTATCTACCTATTCATGACGCACACACTGCATATTTTATTTTAATGATTCACACCAACTCTTTTCTTTGTTATTCTTTTTCAAAAAAACGTTGTTTCTTGCTAATTGTCAGTCATACATGTTCATGCATCCATATATGCTCATACCAAAAAAAAGTATGCAAGAGGGTTTAAAGTATACAAATGCCTACTATCCAGAGAAAATGATTCATAATGAAAACATGATATCTTAGGGCCCTGTATTTCATATACACAGTATACAAATATTTCTCAGACTACAACACAGCTTGGCACCATGCTTTCTCTTTATCATTGTTTTGTTAGCTTTTCTGACATTGTTTAAAATTTCCTCTAAATGTAGAATATTTAATGGCTGCATACTAACCAATATGAAAATCTGCAAATAATATACAGGGAGCTAACCCTCTACTGTTGGGCACCTACGAGGTCTGCAAATAGCATTTCAAATAATTTTTGGTCTGTGCATTTTCCCTGCATTTCTGACTCTTTTGGGAAGGCGGGTTCCTGAGTTATTGTCTCAGACAGTTTGAATGAGCTGAAACCTTTTATAATATTTTGTTAATTAACTTTCCAGAAAAATTAGGATGGAGATACTTCTTTCACAATATCCTTACTAGTATGTAATCTTCGCTAACTTGACAGGCAAAAATAGTATCTCCTTGATATTTTAATTTCTATTTCTGAATATTAATCACATTGAATATTTTGCTGTATATTCACTTTACAACCAACTGTTGGTGAACGAGGTGTGGATTATCCACTATGTAATTCCAAATTAGCAGGTGGCATTTTTTTTCTCGCTTTCGTTTGAACTTTTAAGGCTTCCAGCAATAGCTACTGAATTCTGTGGTCATTGAGCTACGATTTTATATTGATAGAGGCCAAACAAAATTGGAACCGTAAATTGCTGCCCAACCTCCTAATGGGGATTCTTCACTCTTGAAAACATTCAAGAAAAATGTTTTCTTGTGCCATTACTTGCATAATCATGAGCATATTAAAGCTAAGATGTATTCCATGCTACTTCAGAAAAATTTTTTAAAAATCAGTCCAGTGAGTAATTTGTTCCTAGAATTCAGGAGTGAACCCAGCTACAATAAAACTATGAGAGTCCAGTAAAAAGCTAAGGTTTCTTGGCACTGTGCAGCAATATGCTCTCACGTGCTTGAATCACTGTTTCACGGAGCCCTGTATTTCATAGTGAAGGTAATTCTCCGGTGACTTTTCATAATTGTGTGTTGACCAATCACTATCCGTCACAGATCCATCTCAGCTTCCCTGTCCGACCCGCTTAATGACCCGGATCAGATGACTGAAGACAAGCGCCATTCTCAGGGCACGTTCACCAGTGACTACAGCAAGTACTTGGACTCCAGGCGTGCTCAGGACTTCGTGCAATGGTTGATGAGCACCAAGAGAAACGGGTGAAGTTCAAAACCTGGTCTAAATATGCTACTGAGTCTAGCTGCACTCTCTCCTGCCTTTCTTAATTGCACACACTCACTGAGTGAAAACACACTCCATTGAGTCCCTTTCCACGCAATGTGACCCTCGGAAGGGTAGCCTAAGCTGTACAATTTTATGGCAGCCTCATTTCCCTCCCAAGGGTGCCTTGTGGGATTGCAGCCAGCTGTTCAAAGCTCACCTGAAGGCCATGCATTCTTTTAATGTTGATGCTTTGCAAGGTTGCTAGTGCTGTCTTTCCTGTTTTGTCTCTGAAGGCCCTGTCCCTCATCCCTCCATCCCCTCACCTGCTCTTCCCTGGGCCGTAGACCTTAAATCATTCCCTCAAAAGTGGTCTTAGCAAAAAAAAAAAAAAAGTGGTCTTAGCAATGTAGCCTCCCCTATTCATTTGCCCTTACAGCTGAGAGTTGATTTTTGTAGAACATTCAGATTTAGGAATCGAATTTCTGGCCAAAAGATAGAGTAAATTCCACATTCCCTTACAGGGTTCAAACCCTCAACTGTGACCACATTGACATGATCCCTAGCCAAGCTAATCTTGGCAAGGAATAGGAACAAATGGATTCCTTTTTATGTAGAATACAATTCAAGCTATGCATTTTAAATTACAGCCTAGCTACATAGCACAACGAGAGGAGAAGGCAAAAATGCGCACACGCCTATCTATCGTGCAGCATACATTTTAATGTTGGGTTTTCTGTGACTAGTGCTGGGGTTTTGCTGCATCTAGGGTACTGGAGGAATTCATCTGCAAGAGTCTCACAGAAATGGTGGAATCTCACAATTTCTTTGGAAAGTGGCCCACAAGAGGAAGGCAGTTCTGCATACAGAGTAGCGGCAGACATCAGAAATTCAGGGAAAGGACATGGATTTGTCTGGTGTGGAATGGAGTCGGGAGGGAGGTAAAGAGAAGAGATTCTGCGTGAACAAGAGGAACAGGAGAGAGACTTGCCAATAGCCAAAGGTTCTTAAAGTAGAGGGTATGTTCAACTTCAGGAACAATAGCCATCGTGGTCAGAAAAGAGGTCATCCTGCTAAGAACACCAGGTGGGGCCATCCGTGAAATGTGAGAAACCACAAACTTATCAAAATGAAGGTGGCTTTTGGGGGCTTCCATTCGTGTATAACCATTTTTGCTCACAGGTGATTTCCATGGTAGGATTAAAGGAAACCTTTCAGGGGTAAGAGATGCCAGACAGGATGGGAACAGCTGATCACCCACCTCGCCAGCATGCTCTGCTACATGGAAGCCAATCTGGAGTCCATGTTCCTAATGTTCTTCATGGCTACTTGATCACACATGTCCCTTAATCCATTATCATACGGTCCTTTTGAAAATTATTTGAGTTCCTTCTTTGCTTTCCTTTTGAACAATTAACTATGTCTGCTCACAATGCTTCCTTGTTGAAGAGATGCATCACACAATGGCGTCTCTATGTGTCGAAGGTGACAGCAAAGCAATGCATCGTTTCGTAACCAATGGCAACAATAAACAGCGAAGGTGGACAAGGGGTGTCCTGGGAGTGAGTGTTAGCACCTCTTTAATGATTAACTCTGCCCCAGGGATTGTCTTTCCTTACCCACTAACAGAAATAGCCTGTAATGGTTCCCATCCATTTTCAATTCAGACAATTAATAGCTTTAAGACTAGTTTTAACCCTAGTCCCCAACCAACATCCTTCCACATTCTAAGCCCCTCCTACATAGAATCCTAAACTGGAAGCTGACACTGCTTATAGGTGAGAACCATATTGCCAGAGAAACAGATCTTCAATTTAACGTTCACATTTCTTTCAGGAATAACATTGCCAAACGTCATAATGAATTTGAGAGACATGCTGAAGGGACCTTTACCAGTGATGTAAGTTCTTATTTGGAAGGCCAAGCTGCCAAGGAATTCATTGCTTGGCTGGTGAAAGGCCGAGGAAGGCGAGAGTAAGTCTGTACATTCTTATTTGACATTATTTTTCCCCCTTGATGGTGAAACTTAAATCGAGAGTTATCTATATATAGATCTGGGTTGGGGAAGCTATTTGTGCAGTCTCCAAATTTAGGGGAATAACTCGGATTGGAGGGAGAAAGTATACAAAAGTGCAGTCTATATGATCTTTGGTAAGGATCATTAATAACAGAGTCAAACAGGTTATATATATATTTTCCCCTCATTACAGTTATGTGATAATTTGTCATCCAAACCAGGACACTTGTGAGAGCAAATAGGGGACTTTGAGTAACTGTAGTGGAACCACAAGTTTAAACTACGGCTCTAGAGAATGTCGGGGAAAGTAGAAATAAGGAAAATGATGAAAGAATACAGAAAGCACAGTTTGACATAAAATACTTACCTAGGGGACCAGTGTGCATTTATGCATTAGTAAGTTTTCTGATGAAAATCTGATGAAGGTTGAAAGGGATCAAACATAAGACGTCTGGTGGAATGCTGCGTAGAGCTAGGCGGAAACATCTGCAGGTTGAGTCAAATAGCCAATTCTTATGGAACTCTGGTAAATACCTGTCACATAGTCCAAATCAAGTGAATGCCCATCGCTTCCTAATGATAGCTTTCATGGACATTTGAAATAATAAGGGCTAAAAAATTAAGGTTAAACGCTATTGATTTAAAAAAAAACGCTATTGATTTTTTAATGATGTTTTAAGATAAACTTACTGAGGCTTAAAGAGACATCGAGACAAAAGAGAAGTGATATTGTGACTAGGTTTCAAAGTACTAAAAATCGAACCTGCAAAACTAATAGTGAAAATGGGTGTTTACACTAGAGAACGTTTAATTGTGCATTAAAGAGATACCAAAAATTCCACTCCGGGAAACTGATAAAAGTGAAAATCTAATATTGACTAGCTTTAATCCCTTCATACTTCAGTTAGCAAGGCCATCTTGAAAATCGCTGGCTGTGCAGAACATGAGATGTTTTATCGAAATCTAAGTAAATGAATAAATAATCTCAGCAACAGCTTCTGTGTTGCTGTTTTACTAAAACTTTTAAAGCAGCTTGGAATATTGAAAAGGCCATGACGTGATACAGACAGAATTTCTGATCCCATCGCTTACCTTTTACTACCTGAAAGTTTTCATTTCAGATACTCTCCAGTTCATACTGGTTTCTCTGAGATTTTTATAGTATGACCTCAATAAATCCTTTCTCAATGACCTTTGTATGCATTTGCAGTGAGAGACCATCAGTAAGCACTTATTTCAAATGTTTAAATAAATGTAGCTCTTTTTCTTAGTTTCCCAAAAGAAGACAGCTTCGCGGAAGAGCGTCGCAGGCACGCGGATGGATCTTTCTCAGATGAGATGAACACAATTCTTGATAATCTTGCCGCCCGAGACTTTATAAACTGGTTGCTGCAGACGAAAATTACTGACAGGTGACTGACTGAAGTTTGGTCACCTCTGAAAACCACCAAACGCTTCTTAAATATATGTTTGTCATCTATAGATTGTTCTCCATGTGGGGGAAGGTGTATACACACACACACACACACACACACACACACACGCAAGTTTAAATCATTTGAAAGTACATTATTATATTCGTTTTGGACCACTGCAGTTTTATTCATTCACTCATTGATTCCAAAAAAACAGTCATTGAATATCTATAAGGGATGAGACACTAGGAATGCAGATATGAATAAAACATGGAGTGTTAAGTCATTCACATATTAATATAACTTTATAAATTATTATATATGTTGAAGTTTTAGCACAAAGATGAAATGCCAAATATATCATATTATATGCTTAATGTAAATAAGCAGAGTAGTAAAAAATATCTAAACCCCAAAACATAACCAATTATCTTTAAGATGCTAATTGCTTTTTTTTTTAATAAGTCATTTTATTTGGGGCTCTTACAGCTTTTTTTAAAAATCATTTTATTGGGGGCTCATACAACTCTTATCACAATCCATACATACATCAATTGTGTAAAGTACATTTGTACATTCATTCCCCTCATCGTTCTCAAAACATTTGCTCTCCACTTAACTATTCATAGCTGTATATTTTGATGGGAAGGTTTTAGGATAAAACATCTTTGAATGTAAATATTTAGAATCCAGAAGACAGGGGAATTTATAAGGTAATGAAATTGATAGATAGCTTTTATCAAAAGAGATCATTGGAATATTTCCTGGTTATGTTAATGGTATCTTGAAATAGCTACTTTAAATTGCTTTCTTATTTTTCAATTCTAGGAAATAAGTTATGTCACCATGCAAGGCCGTCTTCATAACTTCACCTGCCAGCCACGTGGGATGTTTGAAATTTTAAGTTCTGTAATTTTAAGAGAAAGATTCTGAAGCCATATATTTTGCATGCCAATAAATGAATTTCCTTTTAGTGTTCTGTTGCCAAAAGATTATAAATGGAATAAACTATTGTGAGAAAGATTGCTAAAATATCATCTTTAAAGAACCAAAAAACTGAAAGTTCTGTACCTTCTTCTTTTCTTCTTATTTTTGATTAAATAACCCAACCTTTCACATTTAGCAATGAAATTATTTTTCTATAGCAATTTGTACATATTAATCATTCCAATCACAGCATATGTGCATTGTAATGTAGAAGGGAAAGGCTGGCATCTAGGGTGGTGAAGAAAACCTCCTTCTTGGAACCATTGTCATAAAAACGCTCAGTTTTCAATATATCAAATTTAGACATAAATAAATAGTTCAAGCTTCTTTACTATCGTCTGTCGGTTTGTTTTTCTATCAACTTCTTTTCCTGTTACTTCTACTTCTTTCAAAGATGACAATCTAAACCCATAGCCCACAAGACAAAGTCTTGACGAAGGCATGACTTGTGCTTTGAATGGCTGCACTGTGCTTTAATATTCTGAGGGAACAATGAAAATTGAGGATATTTTATAGGAAAATATTGATTTCTCATGAAAAAAATGGATCAAGTAACATTGGATCCAAAACACAAATCTCCCCTGGAGCTGAGAACCAGCTCCCTCTTTCTGGAGGGTCACCTGGTCTCCAGTTTACAGCTGTGACCCCTACACACACACTCACAGGCCTCCACACACATGCACATACAGACCACACCATATGTGCTCCTGGCTTTATCCCTGGCTCACTATGCATATCCATCACTGCCTCCCATCTGCAGGCATTTGAGTTTGCAGACCAGGCTCCATACCCTGTTCTATAATCTCCAATAGCCTCATGCCAATGAGCATGTCTACAATTTGTCTTAGTCATGTGCAGCCTTACGCTATCTCTAGAGAGCTCAGATCCATTACAAAGCACTTGCCAATAAGGCTTCAAAGTTTGGAAATCACTTGTGCACTTTGATAGTAGGAATGAGCTTCCCCATAATAATGAAGTCATAAGGAAGCAATACCCATAATAATGTCACTCTTGCTCATCCTCATTCTGATTAACATTTCCTAAAGTGGACAAAAAAGGGTGGAGGTACATCTACTGCTGTTCATATGGCTCTGAGCATGTAAAGTAAGCTCTTGGCTTGAAGTTCCTGATATAAAAAATTAAAGTTAAAATTATCTAATCACTGTCATTCCTGGTGAAAGGTCTTATAACTGTGTCTTGGTCTTAGAATGAGGTCTCAGTAGGACAAGATTTGAAGTACTCATCCTAAAATGGTTGGCACAGGGATATTCAGTTGTTACAGCTGCATATCTCAAAACTCTATCAATCAACTTCCACAGAACTAAAACCATCATGTCTTCCTCCAAAGCATCTCAGAATGCTTCCAGCTACACAAGCAGGTACTCCCAGTAGGATCTTTGTTGGTTCATCAGCTTATTGTTAAGAAGAAACGTGCTATGTGGGGCAGTAAGGTGTTCAACTGATGAGATAAAAATATTTTAGTTTTCATACTTCAAATCGAAGGCATTCAAGGCAACTTTTTGAAAGTCACCTTGTTTTCTTTTTTGAAAGCATTGCCTTTACCACTCCTATACCAGAAATCCCATATGGAATTGAAAGTTTTGGCTCACACATGGATAGAAATGTGCTTTCACAATAGCAAAGAGTTAAAACCTCGAGCAGATATCTGTGTGTGCTCCAGTCAAAGCCGCAGCCTGCGAAACCAAAGCACGTGCTCTTAGAAAGAAAGGGAGGTGGTCAGCTAAGAAAACTGCACAGGTGACGTAAAGAAGAGAGCTCACGACGGTGAAGGTGAGGCAAGTTCAGAAGAGTGTCAAGGGCCAAAATCAGAGGAATCTACTTTGAAGATGAAGAGATAAGCTCAGAGTTGAGTATGGGAGAGGAAGCTCAGGAGATAGGGAGCCATGCAAAAGTGAAAATAAAGTTAAGTGCATCCATTTAGTATTATGTTTGTCTGCATGGGATACAAACCCAACCACAGAGGCTTAACTAAATAGGGAGTTTGTTTTTTTTCCATACACACACACAGACAAATAAGCCCACAATCAAGAAGTCTAAGGATAGACATTCACTAATAGCTTAATATTTTATCTATCTCACTCAAAAAACTCACTGCCATGAACTTGATGCCAACTCATAGTGACTCCGTAGGACAGGGGAGAACTGAGCCTGTGAGTGGCCGAGGCTGTAAGTCTTCTGTATGTATGTATTTTGATGCTGTAAGTATTAAAGGGACCAGAAAACTCAATCTGTCTCCTGAGGAATGGAAGGTGGTTTCGAACTAGTGATCTTGCAAATCCCATCCCGCTGTGTAACCACCACGGCTCCCACTGCCATAATTAACAAATGGTATTTACTTATGGTAGGAAAGAAGAAAGTTTGCAAATCTAAGCTTTGATCTCAAAAAAAAAAAAAAGTAGATCTAACTCCAGAAAGTAGAGGAAAGGAAATTTATAGATAAGGGGAAAATAATAAAATTTTGCAAAAAAAAATATGGCAGTAAATAAATAAAGCCAAAAGTTGATTTACTGAATAGTTTCATAAAATTAATAAATTCCTAGAAAAGTAGTCATTGTTAGGTGCTGCTGAATTAGTTATGTATTTCAGAAGGCAACACAGCCCAGTCCGGGGCCAGCCTCACAGCTGTTGCTCATGGTTGCAGTCGCTGGGTCACTTCAACTAATCCCATTAGAGGGCTTTCTTGTCTTCACGGACCATACTTTTTTTTTTTTAACTCATTTTATTGGGGGCTAATACAACTCTTATCACAATCCATACCTACATCCATGTGTCAAGTCTATCTGTACATTCGTTGCCATCATCATTCTCAAAATATTTGCTTACTGCTTGAGCCCTGGGTACCAGCTCCTCATTTTTTCTCCCTTCCCTTCCCACTCCCCCCTCCCTCATGAACCCTTGATAATGTATAAATTATTATTTTGTCATATCTCACACTGTCCAATGTCTCCCTTTACCTACTTTTCTGTTGTCCATCCCCCAAGGAGGAGGTTTTATGTAGATCCTTGTAATCGGTTTTCTCTTTCCACCCCACCCTCCCTCCACCCTCCAGGTATCACCACTCACACCACTGGTCCTGAAGGGATCATCTGCCCTGGATTCCCTGTGTTTCCAGTTCCTATCTGTACCAGTGTACATCCTCTGGTCTAGCCAGATTTGTAAGGTATAATTGGGATCATGATAGTGTGTGTGTGGGGGGGGGGGGGGAGGAAGCATTTAGGAACTAGAGGAAAGTTGTATGTTTCATTGTTGCTACACTGAACCTTCACTGGTTCATCTCCTCCCTGTGACCCTTCTGTAAGGGGATGTCCAGTTGCCTACAGATGGGTCTTGGGTCCCCAATCTGCACTTCCCCTCATTCACAATGATCTGATTTTTTTGTTCTTTGATGCCTGGTACCCAATCTCTTCAACACCTTGTGATCACACAGGCTTGTGTGCTTTTATGTGGGCTTTGTTGCTTCTAAGCTACATAGCCAGGCACCATCAGCTTTCTTCACCACATTTGCTTATGCACCCATTTGCACTAACAATACTTTTACATAATGTCCTTCTCCAAGAACTGGTTCTTCCTAGTTAAATGTCTACAATAGATGAGATGAAGTCCAACCATCTGTGCTTCTATGGAGCATTTTGGCTGTACAATCTTCAAGACAGAATTGCTAATTCATCAATATTCTTCATCAACAACATTATTCAAAAGCAACATCAGGCAATTCTCTAGCGTCATCATGAAATGTCCAACTTTCAAATGCATATGAGGCCATTAAAAATACCCTGATTGGACCAGGTGAACTTTTGTCAATTTTGTCTTTTGCAACATATCTGCCCAAGGTAATACGTCATTTGGTTGATTGACTGCAGCTTTCTTGGGTATTGATTGCTGATACAAGGAAAATTAAATCCTTGCTAGAAAAATTAGTAAAAAACTACTAGTGCCCTTAATTTTAAAAAAGTAATATTTCAAAATATCACCCAGATAATAAAAGGATAGTAAAAATACATTATTTAAAATTTTATATCTTTTTTTTTTTAATCAATTTATTGGGGCTCATACAATTCGTCACAATACATAGATCAATTGTGTAAAGCACATCTATACATTTGTTGCCCTCATAAATGTGACAAATTAGATGAAATGGGCAGGTCCTGAATATGTTACTGAAGTGGACACAGGAAATATAAATTCTTAATAGTCCTTCTATTCTCTAGTATGGAACTTAAGTCTTTCCTGAAACCTTTCCAAAAAAGGCAAGAAGAACTCCAGACTCAAATGGCTTCACAGGTGAATTATCCTAAACATTTTTAAAAGAAAAAAAACCAATATTACATAAACTCCTCAAAACAAAGAGGAAAAATTATTCTTTCCAACTAGTTTTCCATAGCCACAATAAGATCAATGCAAAATTCTTACAAGGATTTTACAAGAAAGATAAACATCAGGCCAATCTGAGCCATAAACTTAGATGTAAACATTCTATACAAAATATTAAGAAGCCAAATAGAGCAAAATGGAAAAGTAACAATGCAGCACAGTCAAGGTGTATTCCAGGAATTCCAAATGGTTTATCACTTACAAACAATGAAAGTAATTCATGCATGAACAAATATAAAAGGAAAACAATCATATGATTGCCTCATTAAGCACTTATAAATTAAAAATCCATTATTATTTTTAAGCTCTCATTGGGAGATAATAAAGCTAAAGGGGAAAACAAGCTAGAAAACAACTAAGAAACCAAAATGCTGATAATCTGAAAAGAAGCACTAACCAGCCTAATGGAGCCCTAATCCTGAAGTGGTAAGGTGTTGGGCTCCTAACCACAAGGTCAGCAGTTTGAAAATACCAGCCGCTCTACGCGAGAAAGATGAGGGAAAGAGTTATGGGCTTGGAGACCCACAGGGA